AAAGATGTTCGGTCTAAGGTATTAAAAGTGAGAGGAATAACGGCCAAAATTCCTAGCAAATAGGAATAAAAAATTTTCACTAAAAAGGAAGAAGGGCTGGAAAAAATATTTGAATTAACAAAAATAAATATTTGAATTGAACAAAGGAATAAAAAAGAAAAAAATCCAAAATAAAAAATGAGTAAAGGGAAATAACTATAGAAATATATACAGTCTAATCTCCCTTGAAAATATTAAATTAAACAAAAGTTTGTAAACATTTTGTAAAAGAATGACCAAACGAAAAGAACGCACGGGGTATCTGTGGTTCAGTGAAATAAAGCTCACTTTAAAGTCAGACGTACCAGGTTCGATTCCAGTCCGTTGCAAATTTATTTTTCGATGTACTGGAATTCATACTGAATTAAGTTAAAAAAAAAAAAAAAAAAGTTGGGAAATGAGAAACGGTGATTCATTAGAAGAATGCTCGCCTGCAACGCGGGCGGTCCGGGTTCGATTTCCGGAGATTGCATTCTTCTACCTTGATGCAACGAAATTCAAACTGAATTAAGTTAAAAAAAAAAAAAAAAAACAAATACAAAAAAAAACGAATGGAAATACGCATCGGTGGTTCAGTGGAATAGTGCATCTTTGATGCAAGGCAATTCAAATTGAATTAAGATAAAAAAAAAAAAAAGTTAGGGTGATTAGAATCAGTGGTTCAGTAAAAGATTGCACGCTTACCACGCGGGCGGAAGGGGTACGATTCCCGGCCGCGGTAATTTTCTTGTTTGACGCAGGCGAGAATACCCCCACTGAAACACCGATGCCCATACACATATATTTTTAATTAATCCAGTTGGAATTCCGTTGCATCAAACAATGAAGATGAATCATGCGTGAAAAAGAACCCGGGCCGCTTGGGTGGCAAACAAGCATACTCACACTGAAACACCGACGCTCGCAAAGCTAATATATTTTTACTTAATTGAGTTGGAATTCCGTTGAATCGAACAAGAAAAACGCATCGGCCGGGATATGAATCGTTCTACCGCTGTACCACCGGTGCTCAGACACCAAACATATTTAACACAATTCAGTTGGAATTCCGTTGCATCAAACAATAAAAATGCATCGGCCGGGAATCGAAACAGTGCCGCCCGTGGGGGTGGCTAGCATTGTTCAGAAAGTCATCGACGCTATTACTTCTATATTTTTTTTACGTAATTCAGTAGGAATTCGAATAAATCAAACAAAAAAAATGCTTCGACCGGGAATCGAAGCCGGGTCGACCACGTGGAAGGCGAGCATTCTTCCACTGAACCACTGATTCGCACAGACCCTTATTTTTTTTACTTAATTCAGTTGGAAATCCGAAGAATCAAACAATAAAAATGCATCATCCGGGAATCGAACCCGGGCCGCCCGCGTGGCAGGCGAGCATCCTTCCACTAAACCACCGATGCGCACGATCCTTTTTTTTTTTTTACATAATTCAGTTGGAGATCCGAAGAATCAAACAATAAAAACGCATCGGCCGGGAATCGAACCAGGGCCGCACGCCTGGCAGACAAGTATTCATCTACTGAACCACTGATGCGCACGGTTCACCATATGTTTTACATAATTCAGTTGAAAATACGAAGAATCAAACAATAAATTGCATCGGCCGGGAATAGAACCCGGGCCGCCCGCGTGGCAGGCGAGAATTCTTCTACTGAACATCCGATAAGCACGGTTCGTCATAATTTTATTTAATTCAGTTGGAAATCCGAAGAATCAAAAAATAAAAATGAATCGGCCGGGAAGCGAACCCGGGCCGCCGGCGTGGCAGGCGAGCATTCTTCCACTAAACGACCGATGCGAATGAACCATCATATGTTTTACTTAATTTAGTTGGTAATCCGATGAATCAAACAATAAAATTGTATCGGCCGGGAATCGAACCCGTGCCGGCCGCGTGGCAGGCGAGCATTCTTCCATTGAGTAACCGACGCGCGCGGTTCCTTATATTTTTACTTAATTCAGTTGGAAATCCGATGAATCAAACAATAAAAATGCATCGACCGGGAACCGAACCTGGGTCAGCCGCGTGGCAGGCGAGCATTCATCCACTGAACCACCGATGAACTCGGTTCGTCATATTTTTTACATAATTCAGTTGGAAATCCGAAGAATCAAACAATAAAAATGCATCGGCCGGGAATCGAACCCGGGCAGCCCACGTGGCAGGTGAGCATTCTTCCACTGAATTACCGATGCGCACAGTCCTTTGCGTTTTTTACTTAATTCAGTTGGAAATCCGATGAATCAAACAATAAAATTGCATAGGCCGGGAATCGAACACGGTAGCCCCTCTGGCACGCGAGTATTCTTCCACTGAACCACCGATGCGCACGGGTCATCATATATTTTACTTAATTCAGTTGGAATTCCGATGAATCAAACAATAAAAATGCATCGACCGGGAATCGCAGCCGGGCCGCCCGCGTGGCAGGCGAGCATTCTTTCACTGAACCACCGATGCGCACTGTTCTTCACGTTTTCTACTTGATTTAGTTGGAAATCCGATGAATCAAAAAATAAAATTGCATCGGCCGGGAATCCAACACTGCCGCCCGTCTTGCACGCGAGAATTCTTCCACTGAACCACAGATGCGCACGGGTCATCATATTTTTTATTTAATTCAGTTGGAATTCCGATGAATCAAACAATAAAAATGCATCGCCCGGGAATCGAACCCGGGCCGCCTGCGTGGCAAGCGAGCATTCTTTCACTGAACCACAGATGCGCCCTGTTCTTCACGTTTTTTACTTAATTTAGTTGGAAATCCGATGAATGAAACAATAAAAATGCATCGGCCGGGAATCGAACACGACCGCCCCCCTGGCACGCGAGCATTCTTCCATTGAACCACCGATGCGCACGGGTCATCATATTTTTTACTTACTTCAGTTGGAATTCCGATGAATCAAACAATAAAAATGCATCGACCGGGAATCGAACCCGGGCCAGCCGCGTGGCAGGCGAGCATTCCTCCACTGAACCACCGATGCGCACTGTACTTTAAGTTTTTTACCTAATTCAGTTGGAATTCCGATGAATCAAACAATAAAAACGCATCGACCGGGAATCGAACCCCCGCCTGCACTTATCCACTGAACCACCGATGCGCACTGTTCTTTATGTTTTTACTTAATTCAGTTGGAAATCCGATGAATCAAACAATAAAATTGCATCGACCGGGAACCGAACATTCTTCCACTCAACCACCGATGCGCGCGGGTCATCATATTTTTTACTTAATTCAGTTGGAAATCCGATGAATCAAACAATAAAATTGCATCGGCCGGGAATCGAAGCCGGGCCGCACTCGTGGTAGGCAAGCATTCTTCCACTGAACCACCAATGCGCACAGTTCTTTACGTTTTTTACTTAATTCAGTTGGAAATCCGATGAATCCAACAATAAAATTCCCTCGGCCGGGAATCGAACACCGCCGCCCCTCTGGCACGCGAGCATTCTTCCACTGAACCACCGATGCGGACAGGTCATCATATTTTTTACTTAATTCATTTGGAATTCCGATGAATCAAACAATAAAAATCGAACCCGGGCCGTCCGCGTGTCAGGCGAGCATTCTTCCACTGAACCACCGATACGCACGGTTCTTTACGTTTTTTACTTAATTCAGTTGGAAATCCGATGAATCAAACAATAAAATTGCATCGGCCGGGAATAGAACCCGGGCCGTCCGCGTGGCACGCGAGCATTCTTCCACTGAACCACCGATACGCTCGCGTCAACATTTTTTTTACTTAATTCAGTTGGAAATCCGATGAATAAAAATAATTAAACTGCATCGGCCGGGAATCGAACACGGTCGCCCGTCTGGCACGCAAGCATTCTTCCACTGAACCACCGATGCGCACGGCTCACCATATTTTTTACTTAATTCAGTTGGAATTCCTATGAATCAAACGGCATCGGCCGGGAATCGAACCCGGGCCGCCTGCGTGGCAGGCGAGCATACTTCCACCGAACCACCGATGCGCAATGTTCTTTTCATTTTTGACTTAATTCAGTTGGAAATCCGATCAATGCAACAATAAAATTGCATCGGCCTGGAATTGAACACGGCCGCCCGTCTGGCACGCAAGCATTCTTCCACTGAACCACCGATGCGCTCAGGTCATCAAATTTTTTACTTAATTCAGTTGGAATTCCGATGAATCACACAATAAAAATGCATCGACTGGGAATCGAACGCGGGCCGCCCGCGCGGCAGGGGAGCATTATACACTGAACCACCGAGGCGCACTGTTCTTCACGTTTTTTACTTAATTCAGTTGGAAATCCGATGATTCCAACAATAAAATTCCATCGTCCGGGAATCGAACACCGCCGCCCCTCTAGCACGCGAGCATTCTTCCACTGAACCACCGATGCGGACAGGTCATCATATTTTTTACTTAATTCAGTTGGAATTCCGATGAATCAAACAATAAAAATGAATCGACCGGGAATCGAACCCGGGCCGCCCGCGTGGCAGGCGAGCATTATCCACAGAACCACCGATGCGCACTGTTCTTCACGTTTTTTACTTAATTCAGTTGGAAATCCGATGAATCAAACAATAAAATTGCATCGGCCGGGAATTGAACACATCCGCCCGTCTGGCAAGCTAGCAGTCTTCCACTGAACCACCGATGCGCACGGGTCATCATATTTCATACTTAATTCAGTTGGAATTCCGATGAATCAAACAATAAAAATGCATCGGCCGGGAATCGAACACGGTCGCCCGTCTGGCAGGCGAGCATTCTTCCACTGAAAACCCGATGCGCACTGTTATTTACGTTTTTTACTTAATTCAGTTGGCAATCCGATGAATCAAACAATAAAATTGCATCGGCCGGGAATTGAACACGTCCGCCCGTCTGGTAAGCGAGCATTCTTCCACTGAACCACCGATGCGCACGGCTCATCATATTTTTTACTTAATTCAGTTGGAATTCCTATGAACCAAACAATAAAAATGCATCGACCGGGAATCGAACCCGGGTCGCCCACGTGGCAGACGAGCAGTCTTCCACTGAACCACCGAAGAGCACTGTTCATTTCGTTTTTTTACTTAATTCAGTTGGAAATCTGATGAATCAAACAATAAAATTGCATCGGCCGGGAATCGAACCCGGGCCGCCCGCGTGGCAGGCGAGCATTCTTCCACTGAACCACCGATGCGCACAGGTCATCATATTTTTTACTTAATTCAGTTGGAAAATCGATGAATCAAACTGCATCGGCCGGGAATCGAACACGGTCTTCCTACTGGCACGCGTGCATTATTCCACTGAACCACCGACGCGCACGGGTCATCATATCTTTTACTTAATTCAGTTGGTATTCCGATGAATCAAACTGCATCGGCCGGGAATCGAACCCAGGCAGACCGCGTGGCAGGAGAACATTCTTCCACTGATCCACCGAATCGCACGTGTCAACTTATTTTTTACTTAATTCAGTTGGAAATCCGATGAATCAAACAATAAAATTGCATCGGCCCGGGAATCGAACACGCTCGTCCCTCTAGCACGCGAGTATTCTTCCACTGAACCACCGATGCGCGCGGGTCATCATATTTTTTACTTAATTTAGTTGGAAATCCGATGAATCAAACAATAAAAATGCATCGGCCGGGAATCGAACACGGTCGCCCGTCTGGCAGGCGAGCATTCTTCCACTGAAAACCCGATGCGAACTGTTCTTTATGTTTTTACTTAATTCAGTTGGCAATCCGATGAATCAAACAATAAAATTGCATCGGCCGGGAATTGAACACGTCCGCCCGTCTGGTAAGCGAGCATTCTTCCACTGAACCACCGATGCGCACGGCTCATCATGTTTTTTACTTAATTCAGTTGTAATTCCTATGAATCAAACAATAAAAATGCATCGACCGAATCGAACCTGGGCGCCCGCGTGGCAGACGAGCAGTCTTCCACTGAACCACCGATGCGCACTGTTCATTTTGTTTTTTTACTTAATTCAGTTGGAAATCTGATGAATCAAACAATAAAATTGCATCGGCCGGGAATCGAACACGGTCTTCCTACTGGCACGCGTGCATTATTCCACTGAACCACCGACGCGAACAGGTCACCATATCTTTTACTTAATTCAGTTGGTATTCCGATGAATCAAACAAAAAGACTGCATCGGCCGGGAATCGAACCCGGGCAGCCCGCGTGGCATGAGAACATACTTCCACTGAACCACCGATGCACACGGGAAAACTTATTTTTTACTTAATTCAGTTGGAAATCCGATGAATCAAACAATAAAATTGCATCGGCCGGGAATCCAACACTGCCGCCCGTCTTGCACGCGAGTATTCTTCCACTGAACCACTGATGCGCACGGGTCATCATATTTTTTACTTAATTTAGTTGGAAATCCGATGAATCGAACAAGAAAAATGCATCGACCGGGAATCGAACCCGGGGCGCCTGCGTGGCAGACGAGCATTCTTCCACTGAACCACCGATGCGCACTGTTCTTTACGTCTTTTTACTTAATTCAGTTGGAAATCTGATGAATCAAACAATAAAATTGCATCGGCCGGGAATCGAACCCGGGCCGCCCGCGTGGCAGGCGAGCATTCTTTCACTGAAACACCGATGCGCGCAGGTCATCATATTTTTTACTTAATTCAGTTGGAAATCCGATGAATCAAACAATAAAAATGCATCGACTGGGAATCGAACGGGGGCCGCCCGCGCGGCAGGCGAGCATTATACACTGAACCACCGATACGCACTGTTCTTTACGTTTTTTACTTAATTCAGTTGGAAATCCGATGAATCCAACAATAAAATTCCTTCGACCGGGAATCGAACACCGCCGCCCCTCTAGCACGCGAGCATTCTTCCACTGAACCACCGATGCGGACAGGTCATCATATTTTTTACTTAATTCAGTTGGAATTCCGATGAATCAAACAATAAAAATGTATCGACCGGGAATCGAACCCGGGCCGCCCGCGTGGCAGGCGAGCATTATCCACTGAACCACCGATGCGCACTGCTCTTCACGTTTTTTACTTAATTCAGTTGGAAATCCGATGAATCAAACAATAAAATTGCATCGGCCGGGAATTGAACACATCCGCCCGTCTGGCAAGCGAGCAGTCTTCCACTGAACCACCGATGCGCACGGGTCATCATATTTCATACTTAATTCAGTTGGAATTCCGATGAATCAAACAATAAAAATGCATCGGCCGGGAATCGAACACGGTCGCCCGTCTGGCAGGCGAGCATTCTTCCACTGAAAACCCGATGCGAACTGTTCTTTATGTTTTTACTTAATTCAGTTGGCAATCCGATGAATCAAACAATAAAATTGCATCGGCCGGGAATTGAACACGTCCGCCCGTCTGGCAAGCGAGCATTCTTCCACTGAACCACCGATGCGCACGGCTCATCATATTTTTTACTTAATTCAGTTGTAATTCCTATGAATCAAACAATAAAAATGCATCGACCGGGAATCGAACCCGGGGCGCCCGCGTGGCAGACGAGCAGTCTTCCACTGAACCACCGATGCGCACTGTTCATTTTGTTTTTTTACTTAATTCAGTTGGAAATCTGATGAATCAAACAATAAAATTGCATCGGCCGGGAATCGAACACGGTCTTCCTACTGGCACGCGTGCATTATTCCACTGAACCACCGACGCGAACAGGTCACCATATCGTTTACTTAATTCAGTTGGTATTCCGATGAATCAAACAATAAGACTGCATCGGCCGGGAATCGAACCCGGGCAGCCCGCGTGGCATGACAACATTCTTCCACTGAACCACCGATGCACACGGGACAACTTATTTTTTACTTAATTCAGTTGGAAATCCGATGAATCAAACAATAAAATTGCATCGGCCGGGAATCGAACACGGTCGTCCCTCTGGCACGCGAGTATTCTTCCACTGAACCACTGATGCGCACGGGTCATCATATTTTTTACTTAATTTAGTTGGAAATCCGATGAATCGAACAAGAAAAATGCATCGACCGGGAATCGAACCCGGGGCGCCTGCGTGGCAGACGAGCATTCTTCCACTGAACCACCGATGCGCACTGTTCTTTACGTCTTTTTACTTAATTCAGTTGGAAATCTGATGAATCAAACAATAAAATTGCCTCGGCCGGGAATCGAACACGGTCGTCCCTCTGGCACGCGAGTATTCTTCCACTGAACCACCGATGCGCACGGGTCATTATATTTTTTACTTAATTTAGTTGGAAATCCGATGAATCGAACAATAAAAATGCATCGACCGGGAATCGAACCAGGGCCGCCTGCGTGGAAGGGGAGCATTCTTCCACTGAACTACCAATGCGCACGGCTCATCATATTTTTTACTTCAGTTGGAAATCCGATGAATCAAACAATAAAATTCCATCGGCCATGAATCGAACACGGGTCGCTCGCGTAGCAGGCGAGCATTTTTCCACTGAACCACCAATGCGCACTTGTCTTTACGTTTTTTACTTAATTCAGTTGAAAATCTGATGAATCAAACAATAAAAATGCACCGACCGGGAATCGAACCCAGTCCGCCACTGTGGCAGGCAAGCATTCATCCACTGAACCACCGATGCGCACGGCACTCAATATTTTTAACTTAATTCAGTTGGAATTCCGATGAATCAAACAATAAAAATGCATCAGCCGTGAATCGAAACCGGTCCGCCGGCATGGCAGGCGAGCATTCTTCCACTGAAGCAAAGATGCTGGTGGTACTTTATATTTTTTACTTAATTCCGTTGGAAATCCGATGAATCAAACAATAAAATTGCATCGACAGGGAATCAAACCCGGGCTGCCCGCGTGGCAGGCGAGCATTCTGCCACAGAACCACCGATGCGCGCGGTTCTTTATATTTTTTTACTTAATTCAGTTGGAAATCCGATGAATCAAACAATAAAAATGCATCGACCGGGAATCGGACACGGGCAGACCGCGTGGCCGCCGAGAATTCTTCCACTGAACCACCGATGCGTAGGGGTCTTTATATTTTTTACTTAATTCAGTTGGAAATCCGATGAATCAAACAATAAAATCGCGTCGACCGGGAATCGAACCCGGACCGCCCGCGTAGCAGGCGAGCATTCTTCCACTGAACCAACGCTGCGCACAGTTCTTTATATTTTTTACTTAATTCAGTTGGAAATCCGATGAATGAAACAATAAAATTGCGACGATCGGAAATCGAACCAGGGTCGCTCGCGTGGCAGGCGAGCATTCTTCCACTGAACCACCGATACGCACGGTTCTTCATATTTTTTTTACTTAATTCCGTTGAAAATCCGATGAATTAAACAATAACAATGCATCGCCCGGGAATCGAACTCGGGCCGATCGCCTGGCAGGCGATTATTCCTCTACTGAACCACCGAGGACCTTTGTTCTATATTTTTTTTACTTAACGCAGTTGGAATTCCGATGAATCAAACACCAAAAATCAATCTGACGGGTATCGAGCTCGTCTTGCCATTTTGGCATGCGAATATTCTTCCACTGAATTATCGTTACTAATGTAGAAATATTTCTTAAATTAATTCACTTTGAATTCAGGTGCATCAAACTATAAAATTCATCGACTGTCAATCGAACCCGGGTTGCCCGCATGTATTCTTCCACTGAACTACCGAGGCCAATTTTTCGGGATCGTTAAGTTTTAATTACCTTGCGTCAAACATTAAATGTCCATCGACTGGGTATCGAACCTGCGCCTCCAGCGTGTATTCTTTCACTGATGCTCTTTTCCCTACATTCTTTTACCTTAATTCTTTCTAAATTTCGTGCCGCAAAGAAGAAAATTGTGCTGGCATGGAATCGATGTTTCTGTCTTTGCTGCCTCGCATTCCGCGCGCGTGGTCCAGTTTCGATTCCCGGCCGAGGAGATGTTTTTTTGGTGGCACCTGAATTTGAATTAAGTTAAAGTTTCGGGGAATGATCATCGATTGTTCAGTGGTAGAATGCTTGGCTGTCACTCGTGCTTCCCTTCCTTTTCAATGCGATTTCACTGTTTGATGCACCTGTATTCAAGATGAATTAATTAAAAAAAAATATCGGTTAAATGGCGTCGGTTTGTCTGTGGAAGTATGCTCGTCTTCCCCGCGGTGGCCTGTGTTCGATTTCCGTTCGATGCAATTTTATTGTTTGATTCACCGGAATTCAAAGTTAGAAAACGTTGGTAAACGAGCATCGATGGTTCAATGGACGAATCCTTTCCTGTCAATAAAAACAAATGAAACGTGTCTAAGTGGTATAATGCTCACCTGAATACTTAAGTAAGATGAAAAGAAAAGCGAATGAATGCCTTGTCGTTATTTCACTGGAATAATTGTCGGTCGGCAAGTACTTGATTCCCGCTCTATGCAATCGTATTGCTTGGTGCCCATGAATTCATTCTGAATTAAGATAAGAAAATGAAAATAACGTGTCGATTTTTCAGTTCAGGTATGCTCGCCTGCCATGCAAGCGGCGTCGGTTACTTTACCGGCCGATGCAATTTAATTTTTTTGATGCCCATCTCCATCTATAAAAGGCAGGATGTGTGTGTGTGTGTAACGAATGCATGGCCGCAATTTTCGACGGATTTGCACCAAAATTTACATGCACATGCTCCAAGTTAACGGGAAGGCCAAGACCGACTTTGCATTTCCAACTCCCATCGATAGTGGAAATAATCGATTTTTTCATGCTTCTACGGCAGTTTTCATGTAGTTTACGGCCATTTTCTACTGGCCAGAGTGAGAGCCTATAGCTGGCTGCCACGAATAGGCAGGAAGATTCTATTGGCCAGCGTGAGAGCCAACAGCTGACTTACACGAATGTTAAGTAGCATGCTAGCATGCAAAAAAAAAAAAAATCGATAGCTGCATTCGTCAAAAGTGGGAACAATTTAAATCTGCATAGCACTTTACTCCAATTGGCTCATTCGCTTGCTTAAACTCAACGTTGATTCTGATTCCGCAGAACTGGGTTCGGTGTGAAAATGTATTTGTTGTTAACATTCTTTTTTCATTCGGTTTTTTCCAGTTACGAGTCCTTTTTTAAAGCTGATCGTTTTGTGTTCATTTTGTTTAGTTCTTTTTTCGTAACAGATTTAATGTTTAGTATAGAGCTTAGAAAAAAATTCGCAGTGTGAGATAGGCAAGAAGTAAGGCATGTAGCAACATCAGCACGGCAAAGGGCACTCCTTTAAAGTCAAGGAAGGGCAAAAATATTTTAAGTCAAGTAATTGCGATTGCTGTATGAGTCGTACGATTTTTGAATCAAGCACGGGCAAAGCCGGGCCATGCTGCTAGTTAATAATAATACTCGTCGGCGGTTTTAAAATTGGTTTGCTTTTATCATTGGATTTATCATTTAATATGTACCCCCACCACACGCACGCACACACACGCATGCACACACACGCACACGCACACACACACACACACACACACGCACACACACACACACACACACACGCACACGCACACACACACATACATGCATATATGAAATTGGAGTTTGAATTCTTTATGTAGTTGCGTCTGTCTGTTTCATGCGTTCTTGGCGCCATTTTCTCTTTGCTTAAGGTGAAATGATTCAAAGAAAAAAATCTTATGCCAGCCGATATGTATTCTATGTAGCCTTATAATAAACTCCTTTTTTGTACACCCCTAGAAGCTCTTACGTTACTCTTAATAAATATCCCACTACATTGAGTTGCTCTTGTGACTTGTATTGCTTGAATACAAATAATAATAAACATTCTGTGTCAAATTTCTTATCAAACCTGAATCAGGGTTAAAGATAATGATCGTTATCATCTTTACTTGACGCCTCGAATTTAAATTAAGCAATCTATTCGTCTTCACTCTTCTGTACGAGTTTTTGTTTTCATTTATCATGAAATTTCTGAATTAATTTTAGTGCCATGACGAAAAGCGATACCACCTAATTTAATCTCGCAAAAAAAACAAAAAACCAAAAAAAAAAAACAAACAAACAATGAACCGTAATCAATTGTCCTAACGTTGAAATAATTTCTCTGTTCATTATACCCGATGTCAAGTGGACACTCCGGTTTTAACATTAAGAAAAAGTTATGGAACTCGAACACGAGAGTATCAATGGGCGGTCTTCGGAAAATGTTTCAATAAAAGACATGAAGCTAATCGAAAATGAAGAAGAACTATTACAATACAATGTTTTGGATCGTCCGCCATTTTTATTGATTATTAGTTTAGCGCTGCAGGTAAGAAAATGTTTGATATTTTCCCCTCGGAAATTCGATGGCTTTGTTTGAAAATGCAGTTTTTATGGGTTTATAATTAGTTTTACTTTGTCAACAATATTTTATGTTTGAGAACTAGTAGACAAACTGATTTTAATGAAGAGAGAGCTTTTTATATCCTTGACTGCTCATTATTTACACAAACAGATACACGAACACACACACACACACACAAACACACACACACACACACAGATATATATATATATATGAAGAAATATAGTCTTAAGGTGTGCTATATCTATTGGATAAAGTGGTCAATATCAGTTATAGTGTGTGTGTAAATATAAAAAAGAACATTGAAGTCAACACTTCGAGGCGACAGTCTGTTTCATGCTGGACGTGGCCTGACGATTGCGTCTAGCATGAAACAGACTGTCGCCTCTAAGTGTTGACTTCAATGTTCACTTTATATATATATATATATATATATATATATATATATATATATATAATAAATCTGGTGGCATATAATCCAAGTGGATCCTAATAATATCAAATATTAAAAGTGAGCCACAAAAAGAGCTCAATGTATTTATTATAATAGAGCATATAAATTACATAGCAAAAAAATCCTAAATTACCTCATTTGGGTCTAAATCTATTTCAGCCAACGCTAAGTACGTTGGACTTATTCAACCCTGGTGGATGGATTTTATTAGAGTGCACCGACTTACCACCGACTCGGGCATTTTGTCTGACTTGAGGCGTCAATATGGGTAGATTCGGTATCAATTTCTCGACTGCTGTCTAAGTTAAATTTTAAATCTCTGATTCTGATACGAATACAGTTCATCCACCGTTGAATAAGATCAACATACTTAGTGTTATTTAAAATTGATCTATACCCGAATGAGTTAATTTTTTTTTTTGCTGTATAATGTATATATATATATATATATATATATATATTGTGTATATTTACGCAGCAATTTTTCATTAATGCATGTTTCATTATATAATATAGACAAGTTTTGTCTATTTATTTTAAACAAGTTCCTTTCATATTTTCTGATAAGCTTAATCACATTATTATTGAAAGACGAAAGGAAATCACCATATTGATACATGTTTAAATCCAATCTAACTTTTCGGCTTCCATAAGCCATTATCAAAGATGACAATTACTTTTCAATATATCAACCAATACACCGACGAAACAAAAATGATAGTCTTATGTAAGCCGAAAGTGTGAGTGTGTGTGCGTGTGTGTGTGTGTGTGTATTCGACTCTCCCGTCGTGGTTGACGTATGAGGGTCAAGCAGCTCAGTCCCTAGGAACCGACAGCCCAGACACCAGCACACATGATTTGATTATAGTGGGGAAGGTTTTGTGCAGAACCAACCACACTTTTTTGAAGAGCCGAGTACAGAGACCTGGTGCACTATGTGCCACAAGGTCCCCAAACGACCTACCACAGGTTTTTAATTCAGAGTTGTCCTTCTTCTAGAGCAGTTACCATCCAAGGCTATAGAACCCAGTCTGTCCTGCTATTTACCCATAGCTGGCGGAAGAAGAGAATTAATACTTTTCCCAAGGATATTAGCACGTGAGTGAATGTAATGGATGTATAGGAGGCACGGTAGTGTAATGGATAGCTGCTTGGAGAGAGGAATCGGAGAGCCGAGTTCGAATTCCAGTCGAATCCATTATAATGCTTTATCGTACCCCTATGAGACATATGGACGACTCGGCGTTGTCGTGTGACGTCGGTTATTTTTAATCAGCGTTTCTATTTGGCCATCATGAATGCCTGTCAGAGTGTTCATGGTCTTCCAGATAAAAAATTCTGCTCTTGAATCTTAGGAACAGTACTTTCAGCTATGGCACCATCTCCATAAACGACACATATCTTTTTTGCTGTTTGTACAGAGTTTTGTCCTTTAAAGAGCATCAAATAATGAAAATGCATTTTATTTTATCGTTGGTCTCCCTTTTAACGATAAAATCTTTAAATTTACAAACTCCGTCGTATAGAAAGATGCGTTCATAATATGTGTCATAAATTTCAGTCACGTGTGGAACGAAAATTCTGTGATCAACCGCTACCTATTGAAATATATTTCGATCTTTTGTTCCAACCCAGGAAATGGAATGAAATGCTCTCCAGCGCGGATCATTGAGTAAGCACAAAGTGCTTCTAATGAAACATCGACTACTTATCCAGAATTAACATAAAAATGATTTCTAGAAAAAGGATAAAACATGTGTGTTAATAGTTTTAGAAATCTGTTTAAGAATTCGGAAACACCTTGATTAACAATTCTTTATAAAAACGCAAGCAAATCTGTCTAAAGCAGTGTCGACACACACACACACACACACACACACACACACACATATATATATATATATATATATATATATATATATATATTTACTACAGTTCAAAAGTTTGAAACCACCCCCTGAATTAACATGGGATGAACTTGACAGAAGAGTAGAAAAAATAAAAAAGTAAGCTCTTAGAGACATTGAAAAAAGAATGGAATCAATTATCAAACGCAATACTTTGAGAAACTTTTGCAATGAATGCCAAAACTTTATGCTGCAATAATCAAGGCTAAAGGAGGATATTTTAACGTGAGTAAAATTTAATCATAAAATGATTTTTTTATTTCTATCATTGTTATAACTTGCTTCGTAGCGCTTATAATATAAGTAATGCTTCGGCAACTTGCTGTGACATCGGTGTTAATTAGTTGAAGACTGACTAAAAACGGCTAGTATTTACCTAGTGCAGCCACTGAAATGAAATGTGACACAAAGTCGTATTTATTGCGGGGGACCCATGCGTTTCCACACGGGTCATTGGTCAAAATTTAACTAGCCTCCGCAAAAGCAGACTTGGAAATATTACTTGTATGTTCTTATCAGCTGAGTTTCTATCCGTAGATAAAACCCCGACTGTGTCTCTCTCTTCCCGAATACTGAGAGCTTCACAATCAGAGCAAGGAAGCCTACGGACTGACTCCAAACGGCTTCTCTTACCTCTGACTTGGAGATTTTACAGCTATAGAGTAGTAGTTTCCGAGGTTGTACTATTTACTCTACAACAGTCATAATAAAATATCTAATAAAAAAAAACACGTTTTACTTTTTTAACCATGTATAATAATATTCTCTTATTTAAAGTACAAAACAATTATTATAATTGTTAATTTTAAAAAAAATACCAGGGGTTGCATTAAACTTTTGAATTGTAGTATATCTATCTATCTATCTATCTATCTATCTATATGAAGAAATATAGTTTTAAGGTGTGCTATATTTATGGGATAAAGTGCTCAATATCAGAGATAGAACGTATGTAAATAGAAATATTAAAGTGAACATTGTTTTAATTTCGGCAGCCTGAATCTAATGAAACAGCCTGTCGCCTCTGAGTGTTGACTACAATGTTCACTTTAATATATATATATATATATATATATATATATTATAATATATATATATATATATTTATATATATTATAAATTAATTGATTTAAAATATATATTTTCTTGAGTTCCAACCATGTTTCAAAAATAGAAGCTAAAACCCTCTTTTATTTTTGCAAATAAATTAAAAGCATTAGTTCTATTTCATCTTCAAGCGAATTTTGGAGTAACTTTTAAAATTTACCGGGTTTTTTAATATTATAATAATAGGTTTATATATAAAAGAAAAGTTTACTGAATCAGTGAAATTAAGTAACCATTTCTGCTGGTCATATATAAAAAAAAAAAAAAAAAAAAAAATGTAACCTCATATACATCTACTTAAACTTAATGTTAAAATAATCCTACATAATATAATGGATTCTAATACATTTAACTGTTCTTAAAAAGAATATAGTAAAATAAAAATTAAAAGGAAAATATTTCAAATCGTAGTTAAATAAAAGTATTGTAAAAAAAAAAACTTTAATTTTAAAAGATGACGTTGAAAATTTTTTACCGTTAACAATTTTTTTTTTTTTTTTTTTTTTTTTTTAGACGACATCCATTCAACCGACGTCAGGTTTCAGTGTAAAATACATCCTCACCCCTTACCAAAATGTAGCTAATAACTGATACAATGATACTGTCATAAGGAAAATCTAGACACCCCGTGTTCAATTTGAGTAGAATATTCTGTAACCATGGAAACGTGATTTTAGCTGTGTATTTAAAACCCGGTAAATTTTAAAAGTTACTCAAAATTCGCTTGAAGATGAAATAGAACTAATGAATTTATTTGCAAAAAATAAAATTAGGGTTTTAGCTTCTATTTTGAAACATGGTTGAACACTAACCATATTTTAAATCAATTAATTTATAATATTAATAAATTTACATTGAGCACTATTTTGTAAAAATAAAATATCTATAAGAACACCGGATTTTATATCTTATATTCTTTCTTTTTTATTTATATATATATTTTATATATATATATTGACCAAATGCAAGTATGTATGAGAAAGATTTTAAAATCGGAATTTTCGGACACGCCTTTGTACTTTCTCAATTAGACATGAAGTCAAAAAAGAGAATTTTTTTCTATATTACCGAAGAGATCTGTTAGTTTGGGGGCTGCAGTAAATGTGACCCCCGCCCTACAGTGTTAATGGTTTAAGGAGTTCCTGATCGTGAGCGCCAGTCCACAAGGTTTGAAGAAGTATGGTCCACGCTAAGATCAACATTCTTCACTCCTTGGTAGCCATTTTTAAGCAATGTTCTAAGAAAGCGGATGTATAAAGATGACATTTTAGATTATTTCTCAGTGGCGCCATGCATGACATCGATATGAGAGCCTCAATCTGACGGGGCCTATTTTTTAGTTTTTATGTTAATGAAAGTGACTCGCGGTTTTAGGTTAACATTTTAATAAAGCAGTATCGATCGAGAGAGATAAGACACGCATGGCGGGGTGTGACAGGCATGTGGTATCATGAAGGATGAAAAGTGGGCCTGTTTATCGAAGAGATTATAAAGAAATACACCATCTGAAATATTACATTCTAATTCAGGGAATTTAGCATAGGAACTTTGGTGTCCTCTCTTTCTCCGCCATCTCTCTCTCTTTCTCTCACTCCTTCTCTCTCTCCATATATATATATATATATATATATATATATATATATATATAATCTTATAAACATAAGTAAGTATACTCGCCCGGAAAAACCTTAGGTGTTTTGACTTGTAAATGAACAAATCAATACCCAAGCAAAGGGAATATCCGCGTAGGTGAAACTTAGGCTCTTTAGGTTATAAATAGACATAATATGTCTATACTATACAATGAAACATGTTTGAATGAAGATATGTTGCTCTCTCCCTCTCTCGCTCTCTCTCTCTCTCTATATATATATATATATATATATATATATATTTATATATATATATATGTATATATGATATAAAATGATGGTTTTTAATATTTCTTTATTTCCAGGGACCTTTTGTTATTCCTATGTACCTTTTGTTATTCCTATGTATTTCTCTTAATTTGCTCTTGAATATTATCGTAACTTCGTATATTACGTTATTCTGTAGGCAGTTATCTTTAGAGGGTATTCATAATTTGTTCTGCAGTTACATATTCATATAGTGGGTATTGGCAGTATATTGTTGATTTTTTGTTGTGCTTTTTTTCTTTTTAAGAATAGTAGCATATTTTCGGTGCAGAAAGCTTTTTAGTTTTTTTTGTTGAAGTTTACCTTTTTGGGAGAAGTGTTTGACGATGAATTTGATGAATATTTTACATATATTTGCTTTTACATTTTTATTATATGCCGGAATGAATCAAACTATTTCTCTGTTTCTGTTGGAAGGATTTGTCCTGTTTGGTGGTAAATGTGAATATTGCCGAAAAGAGTAGCGGCACCTGATCTGAAGACCGAGTTGAGACGTGAAACAGATAGTCACCATGCAGTGCTGATTTCTATGTCCGCACTTTATATACTCATAAATGATCTATTTCTGATACTGAGCACTTTTCTCATATAAATATAGAAAATTTCGACAGCTCAGATATAATACACCGAATTGTTTTGCATATATATATATATATATATATATATATATATATATATATATAAAGACATTTTAATGTTTATAAATTCTTTTTTATAGATACAAATATTTAAGTAAATGCACTGTTTATAATAAACAGTATTAATAACATTTACCGTCCTGAATGTCCGAGAAATTGTCATAGAAAATATACGTCCTCCGACAGGAATCAAACCTGTATCCTATACGGAATCGTCATATAGCCTGACCTGCTTTTACCAATTTCGCCACAGAGGAGCGTTTCGGTTAGCAAGGTCGATTTTACTGTTTTTAAACTACAATTTTCCTTGCTAACCGAAACGCTCCTCTGTGATACAACGAAACAAGCCTGTATGCAAATGACATTATATATATATATATATATATATATATATATATATATATATATATATATTGTCGGGTTAATCCTTCCTAATTTTCGAAACCGTTACTAGGGACGCTCTCCGGACTATAAATACTCTGTGATAATATTTCGTAGCCACTTCTTATTTTTTCCGCTTACACGTCAACATGTAAATCTCTCGCGGAGAATGAACTCACCACACATACACAACACACGTATGTACGCACATTCACCCACTTCAAATACTTTGAACCTAAACAGTTTTCACATTTTTTTGTTATCCACATCATTGTCTATGTCACATGTTACCTTTCTTGTCAACACATTATCATTTGTTTGCACATATATATTGGTTCTTTTCATTTCTTTACGTGGACTCACAACCTGAGTCCATTTTATTGTGGGTATTTTCAAGAGACAGCGTGTTATTCCCAGTTTCAAATACGAACGTTACTAACGCCCGCAACAATATATATATATATATATATATATATATATATATATATATATATATAAACACGAGTAGTGACACACATGTTTCTTTCTTAAGTCCGATGAATAGTTTATAGTTTATATATATAAAGTTTTTAAAATTTTAACGACAAGTTTATGAAGTCTAAAGACATTATAACTATAAAAATCTCCGTACAAGTGAAGACATTTTTCTTTCTGTTTGATGTGACTTATATTTTTGTTTTTATTTAATTCGTCTTTTCGTGTATTTTAAATTGTCTTTTACATTATTCCAGAATATCTTGACAGTTGTCACTTCGGTAATGGGATTTTCTGCGATTCTGTCCGATATCCTCTGCGCTGAAACAAGTGACCCGGTACGAGCAAGAATCTTTTCGACGACGCTGGCCCTGAGCGGTTTTGGCACGATCTTACAAACGAATTTCGGAGTCCGGTTAGTTTCAAGCTGTATTGTGAGTTTGCTTTCAGCACTTGTCACGTGAGGATCTCCTGGTTAAGTCGCAAATATTGAAACATGTCCACTTTCGTTGCTTTTGCACTGAGCTTGATGTTTTTTAAAATAATCTCCCCAAAATCTTCAGTTTCATGAATATTTGTGGATCAGATTTTGGCGCATTTAAGTGGATATGAATTAGCAAATCAGTTTGTATTACGTTGCTTATTGGCTTCCGGTTGGGGAGAAACGAACTGCAAACACCTGTAACGCACTGTGGTTTCCTAATGAAAATAGATACAGATGAGAACTTAAAAAATAAATAAATTCAACTGAGTATATTTATATATATATCAACATAATTCAGAAAAACAAGTGAAAAAGTCTGTGCGTTTCGTTGCCCACATGATATCCTAGAAAATTTGTCATTTGTTGAATTTGTCCAGTTATCTGACCAGTTTTTATTTATATGTCTTTGGTACATAGCGGGACAAAGTGTATAATCCAAATAATTTCCCCTTTCTTGTCAATTAACTCCCTTTATATAAAACAGTATTTTTTATCATGATTAAAAATTTATATATATATAAACAAGACTCTAGTATATGGGAATATTTCGTTTCTATCTAACATTTGATAATAATAATAATAATAATAATAATAATAATAATAATAATAATAATAAGCGTATCTCACAAAAACCAATGGCCCTCTCCTACAAATAGTGAAACACCAAATCCACTCCATCACAATCAAGCTGCATTCTTCAAGAAACAGCTTAATATACCTGAAATCCTACCAACAAAAAAACGAAGCGAATACTATCTATGCCAAACGAGTAAAGCAAAAAGTAAAGCAACTTGGCCAAATGAAATTACAACAAAACTGGGAGGACAATGTGTTGCATGGCAAATACATAAAAAGAACGAAAGAAGCAGATGTGAACCAACAGGAAACGCATCAGTGGCTGAGGAGCACCGGGTTGAAAGCTGAAACAGAAGGCCTAATTATTTGCAGCTCAGGACCAAAGCCTCGCAACCAGATCCTATCACTGTCACATAATCAAGGATGGAACTAACACGAAATGTAGGATCTGCGGGAAATATGATGAAACTGTCGACCATATTATCTCGGGATGTCCGGAACTGGCAAAAAATGAATATACCCAGATCCATAACAAGGTAACGACATATGTGCACTGGATGATATGCAAGTAACACAAAATCGAAACCATTGAGAGATGGTATGACCACCAACCAGACACAGTTACTCAAAATAACGATGTAACTATCCTCTGTGACATGCTAATTCAAACTGACAAGGAAATAAAAGCCAACACACCTGATATTATAAAAGACAAGAAATTCAGGAAGTGTATGCTTATTGACATAGCAGTACCACCTGAGAGAAACACATCCATAAAAATTATCAAGAAATTGTCCAAATAAAGGACCCGGAGATGGATATTAACAAGATGTGTAGATTGAAGAATGTGACTGTACCAATAGTAATCAGAGCACTGGGCTTCGTGAGAAAAGGAATCGACAATTTTACTAAGAGTGTCCCAGGTAACATCAATATGCAAAATGCTCAGAAGATCGCCCTACTAGAAACATCACATATATTAAGAAATGTGCTTTCAATTAAATGAGAATTCTCCTATAGGGCTCAAGGACTACAGTTTGGACACGGTTCTAAAGGATACAAAACATAACACACAAACAATAATAATAATAAGGAAATGTAACAATGTTATCATCGGACTTTACAATACACACAGACAGAACAATCAAAACTAATCACCCAGACACCGTGATTAAAGATCACAAAGACAGAATGCAGATAGCAATAAATCTTTGATGAATGTACAACGATCTTAACGTGGAAATCTAAAAATGAGAACATCAATAATTCCATTTGTAGTTGAGCCCTCGTATTGATTGAAAAAGATTCCGATAGACTCATTGAAGGGATTCCTGGTAACTCATGTATTAAAGAAATACAAAAAATTGTGCACAAGTACAGCTCATGTATTACGAAGAGCTTTATCCATGAAAAAAAATTTTTTTTTTGTTTTTTTTTTGGCTTTCTATTACAAAAATGAACATTGGAAAATGTCATGATACCATTTCTAAGTCTGTTTATATTTATCTTTCTTCAGGTTACCCATATTTCAAGGTCCAGCCTATGCATATATACCACCTCTGCTGGCCCTTTCTAGGCTTGACGACTGGAAATGTGACGCTGTAACACCGTCTTCGAGTAAGAAACTTCTGTTCTATTGAATCTGATTTTAACAAATTCTAATATTTGCTTTCGTTACTATAAAATTTCTGTTATTCTTTGGGTAATGAAAAAAGCAAAATTTCCCATTGGCACCTCATGTCCAATATTATTAGAATTTAATGTGGAATCATTCTTCCAGCCACCCGTTTTATTCCAGTCACTTTGTTCCCATCTCTATATCGAGAGGGTGCAGAAACTTTCAAAAATCTGACCATATGACTAGATAGTTTTTGGAAAGGTTTCTTGTTTAGATCAATAACCTTTTGACCCCACACGCCCAACCCCTTATATATTTGCCGGATTGCTTTGTTAGAATGTATATTCGAATCTCTTTATAGAATTAAATGAACTGTGAAAAATGTTCAAATCAAATTTCCATAAAATAAATACGTAAGATAATTTATCATTTCTATTGGCAGATACTGTTCAGTTCCCAAAACCAGGAATAAATCAGTTGTCAGATGAGCATTAATTAAAATCACGCAGAATTAATGGTTAAGACTTAATTTAGGAGAATTAATGGTTAAGGCTTAATTTAATTAAAAAATGTTTAATCTTTTTTTCGGACCATGCGATTGGCTGATGTAAATTAGGTCTTCATTGACCAATGGAAAAAAAAAAAACTAAAAAAAAACTCATTTTTGCTCAAAGTGAACAGTGTTTACCATTTTTATTGCAGGAAGCAGTCAAAAATTCTTTTGCGCCAAATCTATCTATCTATCTATCTATCTATCTATCTATCTATCAAATAACTTTCCGGTAAACTATTCGAGGCTTTAATCAATGCTGAAGTGGTTAAGCATCTTACCTCTCACATCCAACTCTCTGCCAAACAGTGTGGCTTCCGTTTTGCCATATCTACCGATGATGTGCTAATGGACATCACTGAATATATATATCAAACTGGAGTTGTGGCTCTGAATATCTCGAAGGCACTTGACAGTATGTGATCCGATGACCTTCTACACAAGCTCAGGTCTACGGTATTACTAGACGTTTGTTTGATTTAATCCCATCATTTTTATCAATTGTGAAATGAAGGGCGTTTTCAACAGGCTTGCTTCCAAATCTTTTCATATGAACGCGGGTGTCCCACAAGGCTCTGTACAGATTAATGATCTTCCTGATGTCATCAGTTCCCAAGTAGCCATTTATGCAGATGACCCTACATTTACTTCTGTCTCAATAAAAAAATCCGTCACAACTGACAAATTTAACTTGGCCGCTACTCTTGAATAGGACTTGCAAAAATGTGGTTAACTGGGGCAGGAAATGGCTCCAAAACGAAACGAATTTAACCACCATAGAGAAAATTTTCCTGCCGTCATAAGCATGACTGAAGCTAGACACATCGAGAGGGACACATTGAGCCTTCTTGACCTCACGTTTTCAACTGATTTGGAGTGGAACGATTACATCGAATTAATAGCATCGTTTACTGCAAGGAATGCTGGGTTTCTTTGTCGTGCCAGAAAGGTTTTCTCCTCAGAGACCGTCTTGCATATATTTATAAATCTACCATTCGTTAGTTATGAAGAGAACCACCATACATACTGGAAAGCGCGAAAGAAGTTTGTAGACTTAATAGATTTTATAAGTTTCAATCTAAAGTATCACTAGCTGTCCGGTCAATGAACGTCGAATGATTCTTTATCTGGAAAAGACTAATATAATCTTTAGAGATGAAGAGAAAAGATTCTATACTTAGTATTAACTTATCAAAGTCAATTTAATATGAGGAGTGCCCGAGCGCGTGCACACCGGGCCAAGTCTAAAAATAGACCATCCCCCGCAACCGTCGGTTATGCTGGCATCGGTAAGACTACCGTCCATCCATCTCTTTAGTGCGCCTCTATTTTTTTCATTTGCTTTCAGTCCGAAGATAAAAATTCAACTGTTGTGCTCTGATGGAAACACAATTAAGACATAAAAAAGTAGTTTCTCAACCCAATGGCAGATATTACACTTTGATCCGGATCCGATGGCCAGGGAGTGACGAAAAGCATAACTGGAGTAGTACTGTTTGCTCGGGCAATGAATGCCGAATGTTTCCTTATAAGGAAACGGCTAATATTACCATTGTAACATGGCTGGCTCGGTTCGATCCGGGGTCCTTCCCACTGTGGTCAGTATCGACGCCGGTTAACTGATGGTTATTTAATGATCGCTTCGTTCCTGCATGTGCTCTGCCCACGTTGTGTTCTTTGATCACAGTGCAGCGAAGATCGTACTTAAGCACTGAATCGAGTTGTGGCCGAACCGTGCTACGAAAAGAACGTTTCCGATGCTGAAAATATGATTATCATAGCAAATAAGGAAGAAGGTCGCTGCGTTAATTTTCAGTTGGTTTATATAATCTTTGATGCAACAAAATTAACCCTTCTCGTTAAACTCTCTATTGTGGCACTTTATCAATTGCTTATAAAACTTAGAGCGGATTAAACATACATAAGGAATCAGGTCGAAATTCTCTCATCAGCAGGTCACGTGGTGTCCAGTAGCTCCTCGCCTGCTGCTGTTACGTCTCGTCTGCGTCCGTCACGATCGGTTTATATGTATCTCCGCACATCAAAACTATCAATTATTCATCAATTAATTACTTTCTCTAACTCTGGAAACATGACATCGACCCTCAAACAAAGCGGTTAGCTATTTCAGAAGAATAAACATTCCTTTTTTTACAATCGGTCTTGTCATAATTGAATTTTTTCTGTTAAATTTTTGTGATTAAAAATTCATTTCAAATCGGCAAAGAATTTTATTCGTCGAATTCAAATGAATTTTTTTGGTCGATTTCCCAAATACGACCCAAACAATTTCCTGTCCATTTGCATGTTTACAAAACCCGGTTTTGCAAATTTTTTCGGTTTTACCCATATTCCCTCACCGGCTGTCAATGACCTTCAAATACCAAAACAGTCAACTATTCAAAACAATGAACTTCTTGCGCTTTGAAATTTATTTCAAATGGCAAGAATTTTCCTTGCTTGTTTTAGCTTATATTTTCGCCAAACCATATTTGGAACTCAACATTCCATTCCGCGTTTCTGCTTATCAGAAGCGGACTGGGTATTTCTCTTTTTTTCCTTGCTCCACACCTCATCCTATGTTTTCACCTCAAGGTTTTTAACGTTTTCAACTCGTCCAACTCTCCAATTCTCACAGGGGACACAAATGAACCCCTCCAATCCTAATTTCACACCAACAGTGTCAAAACAATGTCACACAATGACCATTACCGTCAGTAGAAGATTTTTGTCTACTTTATTTGAGAGGCTTGGTCATTGGACTAAACCATTAACCTGACCTTTCATATACCCTCCCCCACACACCACGTTGCAAATTCTGAGATTTACATAAGGAAATTTACTTACGTATTCACATTAACATTTTTTAAATTCTTAAAATAATGTATATTTTACACTTCAGCTTCTAATGAGACACAGTTGTTTGGTGCCAGTCAGGTGATGTTCGACAACCAAACGCTGAATACGAAATACGAAAAATTAAACCTGGTAATGTATTCGGCGTTGAATTTCCTTACACCCCCACAACCACACTCCCACCCCTATATATATATATATATATATATATATATATATATATATATATATATATGTAGTTGGGCACCATGGAGTAGTGTAATGTTTAGGGAAATCAATTACGATTGAATAGTAAGTTCGATCCTCACTGGGTGCCCCATACTTTCGTTTTTGTACCACATCTAAGTTACGGTTAGAAAATTATCATATATATGCTTATTGTACAGTCAGTAATGCCAATGTATTGAAAAAAAAATGAGAATGGCTGTTGTTCAGCGCACTACCATAAATACTTCTTCATGTCTTTTCCTTTCTCTTTCACTTCCGTTAACCCTTTGCACCTTAGTGATCTTATCGCCTTGCTTGGAGTGAGTTGATAAAAAAATATTTGTCTTCAAGAGGAGTAGATAGGTTTGCCTATCGTCCGGTTCACACTACACTCCGGTCTTTTGAACAGGAGTAGATGTTTATCCCTTCTTTCCTGTTTAGGATTGGGTTTCTGGTTTCTTCTAAAGTCTTTTCCTGTCTCTTTTACTTCTAGTAATTCGGCTTACATCTTTGCAGCATTATCACCTTGATTGGGGTGAACTGATTAAAAAATATCAACATTTTGGATATAAAGGCTGAGACGTTAACAAAGCAGACCCTATATCTGATTATTTGAAGTCTCACGCAGACCCCATGGATCAAGGCCTTTTTAGTAACAACAAAGTGATAAGCTGAAAAAACCTGATCGTATATTAACTGCTGGAGTTTCTTCACATGTTCTTAGCCGGTTGAGAAATCTATTCCCGAAACGATAAAGTTAAAGTAAAAAAAAAAAGAAATCCAACCTTCCTATGACTAATCGGATTCACGTCTTGCCTCGCCGATGTTGATTTGGTTGAGATAAAATCAATTTTCTGTTTTTGATGACGGTGTCTGAATAGCGAAACCTGCCAAATGTGGTTCTAGAGAATGATGCTGATGATACCGTGGATCGAACATGTGAGCAACAAGGAGGTCTTGGAGAGAATGGAAACAAAAAGGAAACTCATACTTATAGGCAGTTGACATTTCTGAGGCACATAATGAGGAAGGAGGGCTTGGAAAATCTGATCCTCACGGGACAGATTGAAGAGAAAGCGGGACAAAGGAAAGCAGCAGACAGAGGAAAACATACTTGATGAGCTGGTATAAATGAATGATAAAACAGGATTTGGAAGAAACAACAAAAAGACAAAACTTATTGAGAGGTACAAGGGACAGGAAGAAGTGGAGGGTCATAATCGCCTACGTCCTGAAGGGACACGATACATAGAAGAATTCTTCTGCAACGTCAGTTTAGCAACATGTGGTCTTGCTCTGTTCTGGTGGAAAATGACTCCTTTTCGATTTGCCAAAATCGGCCGTTTTGTCTTGAACCCATGTCTTTTTAAATGGCAAGCAGAGCGTCTTCATCGGTGACGGAATGTCGGCCGGACCGTGGATGGTGGTTAGGGAACAATGACCCAGATGAAATCGACTTTTTGACCGTCCGAAGATCAGGAGCATGATGCAAATACAACTGCTGAATGTTTTTTTTTTTTTTTTGTCGCAGTTCCGACGCTTACTCCTTTCCGAAATTCATAGAGCATAATATGGCGAAAGTGAAATTTTTCATCCCCCATCTTTAAGGCATTTCATTTGTGGACAAAGCGTTAATATTCAACAAAGTCTGACTCGCAAATGAATGACCCAAAGTTTCAATGTAGAGCACGACAGAAATTGGCATCAAAACAAACGCCAATATCAAATTGCAGTCATTTTATATTAACAATGAATACCGGGCCGAATCATGCGCACTTGAAATAATTTTACAACTATCAATTACAGTGATTTTTGTCTCTGTAAATTCCCCTCTGAAGATGGTCTTGGATAAGATTGAAAGTTCTTGGGAAAATAAAAGTAATAGAAAAACTACGATGTATTTCTTACTTAGTTTTGTAACAGCACAAAGAAATTGATCCATGAATTAGAGATTATTAAAATAAAATAGATATATGTCTAGATTATTCAGCCAAACATGGCTGAATATGTTGTCTCTCTCTGTCTGTCTGTCTGTCTCTCTCTCTCTCTCTATATATATATATATATATATATATACCAGGTGGAGTTAAAATGTTCCCACTCTGACTAAGAAGTATTTATTAAAAAAATGATGTGTAGTTATTTGATTGAATTTTGAGAATTAGGTCAGCTCTTTCTCTCTCAATCTATATATATATATATATATATATATATATATATATATATATATATATATATATATATATATTGTATATATATATATTGTATTTGTCCCTATTTCTGAGATGCGGTATTGTAATTATTTACTTTATTTACATAGTTCGGACTGTTGCTCTCATCTTCCAATCACCCGAAGAAGGCCGGAGCGTAAAACGGCCGAAACGTCGTGAATATGGCAACAAAGATGAGAACAACAGTCCAAACAATAATATTGTATTAAACACGTCTTACCATGAACATCATACTTGCATTTTCCTTTTCAGTTGTCTGGAAGCTTAGTTTTGTCTTCTTTTATCGAGTTCCTGGCAGGAGTGACTGGTTTCACGGGTCAATTTGTGCGCTTCATTAGCCCAGTGACCATTGCTGTTACAATCGCTACAATCGGATTTAGCGTGATTGATTTTACCATCGAATATTCTCAAAGATTTTGGGGCACATCAATGCTGTGAGTATAGATTTAGTTTTGCTTGATTTCGGAATGCAAGTGGCGTTATTTTTTTAAATTTCGAAGCGGTCTGATATTTCTCAAAATGCACTGTGTAATAAGTTGTCGTGGTGACTATGATGACTAAAATAAGGTTTGTGTATTTCGTCTTTTCCAAGATCAGAATGAGTAAGAACGATGGTTAAAGGCTATACCTTGAGACAACACCCCTGACAAACCAAATACTGTTGTTTGTCAAAGGTATTTTCTATTTGATTATGAAACAGTAGTTATTAAAGGAAAAGTACAACCCAAAAATCCACCATTAGTATTTGATCATTTACCATCAAGTGTATTGTTATCTAATCCTTAATCAAAACCAACAAACAAACAAAACTTCTGCTTGTGTGCAAAATGATGAGTCGTCACAGTTTCTAGAAAAATACAAAATCCTCACGTTTCAAAAATTGTATCAGAATATTGATCAACAGGATTTTGTCTCAATAGTTACATGATATAAATCAAACAAACAGCTTTTCATCCAATCTATTGATTTTTTTTCACTGGAAGTATTCCAATGTTTTTAGTTAAAATTTTTGAAAATTTGAGATTTGAATATTATAATGCTGGTATATATATATATATATATATATATATATATATATATATATATATATATATACAACAATTTTTCTCTTTCAAAAAGTCGAATATCAATGCTTCAGCACTAGTCATAAATTAATGAAACAATTTGTTATCTTAGTAACTTAAAAATTGACAATAAGAAAAAATTTAAAAGAACATTAATGTTATGTCACCACAAATGATTGAGACAAAACATTATGATTCTGATAGTTTTGTCAGGGCATTTGAATACTTTTTCATTATATAACAGACTTCAGGAGGATTTTAAGTTACCAAGTGTAAGAGCATTACCAGCTTTGACATCTGAAGTTTCAAAATTAAATAACTTTAATTTTCTTGGTAATATTTTAGTGAAATCTCTTTTAGTTATGTATTCTTTTAGTTGATGAAGTGTATGCCAAGGTTGCTCTGCAATATCATGGAGGAAACTTATTTGTTTTGGCTGAAAATTTTGAGGGATCAGCAAAAACAATATTGGACATCATGATAAAATGTTTAAATGGAGGATCAAAAATTTTATTTAAAATGATACCAATTGCAATATTAGAGGCAACTTTTTTATATGAAGAAAATTGATATATTGTTGGTGAATTGTATGTGACAATAACAGGACCCGTCATTCGTTTTTTTTTTTTTAAAAAAAAGATTTACATTATTTTTAATAATCTCTGGACAATAAAATGGCTAGTACTTACTTTTTGATTTTGTCCACCTTTTTAAAAATATTCCAAATAACTGGATTACTAAACCTACGTCTGAATTATTGTTTTATTCTGAAAGAAAAAAGATGATAGCAAAATGGGAAATTATAAAACGTCATTTTGAGTATGAACTATCGAAACTAACTGATGGAGGAGTTTACCCAGAAGCAGTTGAGCGAGAAAATGTTTCCCGTTGTTTAAAAGATTTTTGTGATCAAATTGTAACTACCATTAAAACACACACATTATTAAATGGGGAGGATACAACAGAAAGAGATAATTTCATTGAAAAAGTTAAAATTTTGGAAAATTGTTTCTGTCAAAGAAATATATTTTGATACTAAGAAAAATGATCCATTGAAAAAGGTGATATCAGATTTAAATGATGAACATCCGTTATTTCTTTTTATTTCTGGAAAAATGATAAAAAGAATGGAAAAAAAAAAGAAAAAAGAATGAAATCATTAACAAAAGATACTAGGATAACAATTGAATGTACATGCAATGGCTTAATTGATGTTTGTAGATATTCACTAAGTAGTTGGTTTAATTTTGTTATATTTGGTGAATTTATCACAGACTATTTGGAAAATGAAGACAAAGTTCTTGATGTACATATTTTATAACAGTTTAAAATATCACTGAAAAATTTCAATATTGAAAAAACTAAAACTACTTCTTAAATTAAATGTTGATGTCAAAGACTACAACTTTGATCCAGGCTATAATTGCTCAAAATGTGGATATTTGCTTAATGAGATGCGATGGCAAACATTTGATCACTTACCAGACCTTGAAACTAGGATCTCTAAAGATATTGAAATGTCACTTTTGTATAGAGCAGGTTATGTTACAAGAAAAGATTGTCCCACAGAAGAGGAAATATTTAATAATATTAGTTTTTATTTTCAAGAATATGAACATTTTTGAAAGAAATAGATTGTGGTAAGTTAAAACTCCACTCGATACCAATTTTTTATTTTTATTTTCAATTTTCCCTTTTTTTACATGTATTTAATTGGTTAACTCCCCAAATTATCCTGTTAATTAATTTTGTGTTCTTGTTAATCTGAATTGATTTTAATTTTTAAAACTATATACACTGATAATAGCTATTATTTTATCATAGTGAAATAAGTATTTTCTTCATCTTTTGTGAAATAAATTGTACATGTAACAAAAATCTCAATAAATTTTGTGAAGGTTATCAAAATTATTGTTTCTCAGAAATTCACACTTATGTAGATTTTGTTGATACACAATTTTGTAAAATGCTGAAATTGCTTTCTGATACACACACACACACACACACACACACACACACACACACACACACACATATATATATATATATGTTCTGAAATAAATTAACATAAACAAATTAACTCATCATTTTTGCAATATTATCTAAAAATTTCTAATTTAAGGTGAATAAAATGATTTTTGTGCATTTAGATATTTTATAGTATTTTTTTTCTTTGTATATTGGCATTTATGGGAATCAGTCAATAATTATAAGAAAATGCTTCCTAATATTATATATAGTTGCTCTAATTGCTGTACATTACTAACAGGCTCCTTGCTAAAAACCTTCTCAGTAATTGCCATTTAGCAGTAATTTAAGCCCCCAGCCGTGGATCCCAGTTGCATGGTTGCCAGGCCTAGTATAAGAATCGCCTTGAATGGATGTAATTCTTCCAATAATTTTAGCACCATTTAATTACATTATTTAACAGCAAACGCATTCGCACATTGGTGAATATTACTACTAATAGTCAGAGAGGAAAAGCAAGTGAAATTAAGATGTTAAGAAATAAAAATAATAATGGCTGACAATGCTTCATTTAATCGAAATTCAATACTACTACTACTAATACTACTTGATGAAAAGCAAATGAAACTGAGATGAAATAAATAAGGAAATCAATAATTGTTGTGATTTCTTCATCTGATTAAATAATTCCAAAATAATATTTTACTTCTAACCTTATTAAATGAAAAGCGAGTAGTATTATAGACGATAGAAATACTTGCGAATACTTATGTTCTAGCATACATACGCACGATAATGGGTATATCCCCATTCACATAAATACAACAGTAAATACTGTATGTGGGTCTGGAGTTGGAAATTCGTCTGTGCTGGTCAAACTCTCTGCCTCTGGCCAGAAAGGATCCCCTTACGAGGCTATATCGAAGGGCAGAGTCTGGTCTCGGGAAACAGCTACCCAACCCCGATTTATACGGGGTCTACAGGGAATTTTTGATCGAGCCTACGGGCTCGGATACCCCACATTAAATTCGGCCTTGTGCCACATCTGACCACGTGCGGCGGTTGGTATATATCCTGCAATTATATGTTGGTCTGCAGTTGTGCTAGTCAAACACTCTGTCTCTGGGCAGAGAGGATCCCCAGACGAGGTTATGTCGCAGAGACTCGTCTAGGCAAACAGGTACACGACACCGTTTTATACGTGGTTTATGGGGCATTTTTGGCCGAGCCTAAGGTCTCGGATACTCAACGTTAAATTCGGCCTTGTGTGAGGCGGTTGGTAGATATCCTGCAGTTGGAGATTCATTGTGGAATTCATTTGACTCACTTCTAGCAATTGATTACTATTTCTACGCGCCGCTGGCGAATCCTATATATGTTGTTCTTTACCAACCTTCGTTTGATTATTCTATTCAGTAACCTTCCCTAGGTTACAACAACTTACTAATGAGTTGGGATGAAATAAAGGTTGGAATCCGACAGAATGATAAGATAAAGAACAAAGAGTAAATGTTTCTGAATTTAACGTTTTACTTTTATTAAATCTTCAACTTGCAGTGATGAAGCTTTAATAAAAGCCTTCATCTTATCAAACTCACTAATGCTTGACAATTCTTCATCTAAAAAAGGTTCATTATTGCTACTGATGTAGTGAAATTAAGTTGAATCAAATGTAAGTAAATGATTTTAATATAACACCAGTAACATTTGCATGTTTTTATTTTTTTCAACTTACTAATATACAACGAGCTTGTGATTTGTATGAAACATTTCAACAATATTTTTTGTTATGCTTTTAGGACGGCAGGTCTTAGTTTCCTTTTTATTTTCTATTTAAACAACATGCAAGTCCGTTTACCCCCTTTCACTAGAAACGCGAAAAGAAGCAAAATTTTTCAGAATTATCCGGTAAGTCAAACTTTTGAACTTTGTCATTATGTTGCTTCTCGCGCCGAGAGTCCAGAAAAATAACATGGCGTCGAATTGCAACTTTATACCTTCGCTGGTTGAAATAACTAGATGTTTCCTAACGATGGCATCGGTCGATGTTCGTGCTTAAGTAAAGGAAAGATGCAAGCAGTATAACTGACTTTACAAAACTTTATCCTCTAAATTGGTTTTATGTCAGTTTAAGATAATTTTTAAAAAAATTCTTACACCCTAAGCAAACCAGTTACATTTTATCATCGCCGATCGGACATCGAACGACCACCAGTGACGATGAACGTTTGTCCCCTCGGGGAGGTTCCGTGCCTCGAGAGACTATTGAGCCCAAAACTCACACCTGACCGCAAGTGGAACTCGTACATACGACCCATCGCTAAAGATGCAGATAAAATGGTCGGCTCCCTGTACCGCTCCAGTAAGTACCTGACTCCTCATGGTACCCTCTTTCTTCACAA